TTTTTTTAACGATATAGATGGATTCATGTTTGCAAGACCCCCCTCAAGTTCTGTGTGTAATTCTGTTCAGTCATCCTCAGTGCTGTGTATATTGTCATTGTGGTTATCACAGTTAATCCATTTTATAGATAAATATTTTGATTATTTCTAGGTTGGGGCTGTTAAGAATAGAACTGCTGTGAATATCCTTGTACATGTTTGGGGGGGAATGTATTACACTTTTCAGTTGGATATACAGTCAGGTACTGAATTAACATTTCGGTCAATGTTGGAGTACATGTACGATGGTGGTCAGAGCAATAGGCTGTATTATATATGGTACAGGCTATGCCATCTAGGTTTGTGAGTATACTCTATGATGTTTGCAGAATGACAAAATTGCCCAATGACACATTTTTCAGGATGTATCCCTGTCATTAAGCATTGTGTGACTGTATACGTAGGAGTGGGGTTGCTGGGTCACAGGGTTGTATATATCCAAACTTATTCAAGTTTTTCCAATTTCTAGAGTGGTTGTACCAATTCATACTACATAAAACAGTATAAGGAGAGTTCCAGTTATTCTACATTACTGTTGGTATTTTCATTTTAGCCATTTTAGTGGTGTGTATAGGCACATATTGTGGTGTTTTTTTTTTGTTTTTTTCTTTTTAAAGATGGCCGGTAAGGGGATCTTAACCCTTGACTTGGTGTTGTCAGCACCACGCTCACCCAGTGAGCAAACTGGCCATCCCTAGTATGGGATCCGAACCCGGGGCCTTGGTGTTATCAGCACCACACTCTCCCGAGTGAGCCACGGGCCGGCCATATTGTGGTTTTTCTTCTGATGAAGTCAGCATCTTTTTGACTACTGGCTATTCGGGTATCTTTTGGACTGTCCATGTCTTGCCCATTTTTGTATTGGGTTGTCTCCCTTTTTGTTACTGATTTGTTTTTTCTGAATTTCAGATGGATATCAGATGTCTGAAGGTTTTGCTGCATTTTTCTTCTAAAAGCTTTATTGTTTATTATATTTTGATTGATCATCTATCTGGAACTGATTTTCCATATGGATGTCCAGTTAATACAGCAGTATTTATTGAAAAAAAACTATCCTTTCCCAACGGCATTGCACTGTCTTTTTCATAAGCTGGTAAACTGTATATGTGTGGATTTCTTTCTGGACTCTAATCTGTTCCATTGGTCTATTTTTTGAAAGATGTATCAGTAATACTGTCTTAATTACTACATGAAGTATCTTATATTTTAGTTTCTACTTAATTTCTATACTGAGTGAACTCTTAGTGTTAATGGATATTCCAGTCCTTTTTTTTTTTTTTAATTTACTAAGGATGTATCATCTGTAAATACAGTTGACTCTTGAAAATGGAGGTTAAAGGTGCTGGCCCCCACACAGTCAAAAATCCACGTAGAACACTACTTAACGCACTTTACCCCAGGTTGCAGGTGCTCCCTATTGCCCACATGGGGGAGAAGGGGCATCATTACTCAACTGCTAAGAGCCTACTCTTAGGTAGTCTACTTAACTGTATGTCATACGTTCATGACATATCTAACCAAAAGTTGTCCAATATATTTAATGAAAAAAAAACCATGTATTAGCTGACCTGTGCAGTTCAAACTCACGTTGTTAAAGGGTTTGCTGTCATTACTTTCCAATTTTATTTCTTCTTACTCCACTGATATTAGCACTTCCAGTACAGCTACTAATGATCAAAGTAGGCATCACTGTCTTGTTTCTAATTTTAATGGGAACGTTGAGTATAATGTTGGCCGTTGTAGTGTTTTAAGAATTTCCATCAACCTGTTCAACTTAATTAGGTGCTGTTCTAATATCAATTAAAATATTTTCCTTAAACCTATGAATGTATCTTTATATTAATAATCCTAATATTGTACACGTTGTGATCTTAATGATTGATTCTTTTTTTTTTTTTTTTTGTCTTTTTTGTCTTTTTCCGTGTCCGGCAACGGATCGCAACCCTCAGTGTTGCCCCCGTACCGGACCGGGGACCGGCAACGGGATTGCAACCCTCGGTGTTGCTCCCGCGCCTCGCTCAGCCAGTGAGTGGGAACCGGTCTGTATGTGGGATCCGAACCCTCGGGCGGGAGCACCGCCACGCTTCCCAAGCGGCACACTATCCAGTGCGCCACCGGGCCGGCCCCATGATTGATTCTTTTAAATATAACTAAATTTGATTTGTGACCATTTTAAATGTTTGCTTTTAATGAGACTTTCAAACTTATGCCAGTTTTTAAAATGAACTTGAAATCTTTCCTTCTCTTTCTAGTTTATCTGAATACTGGGGATAATAAATAGTACCTGTCTTAAGGTCAGTGTGAAGTTTAAATAAGACATTACATATACTCATATGCCTGGAACATGATGAAAGAACTAGCTGCTGTGGGGCCGGCCTGTGGCTCACTCGGGAGAGTGTGGTGCTGATAACACCAAGTCAAGGGTTAAGATCCCCTTACCGGTCATCTTTTAAAAAAAGGAACTAGCTGGGCCGGCCCGTGGCTCACTCGGTAGAGTGCGGTGCTAATAACACCAAGGCCCCGGGTTCGGATCCCACATAGGGATGGCCGGTTCGCTCACTGGCTGAGCGTGGTGCTGACAACACCAAGTCAAGGGTTAAGATCCCCTTACCGGTCTTCTTTTAAAAAAAAAAAAAAGAACTAGCTGCTGTTATAGCTGATGCTGTTTTTTCTTCTGCAAGTTTATTTAGTATAGGAAATAACTGTCTCTTGAGAATAAGTCACCACTAAATCATCTAGGCCTTTTGCTTAAGCAGTTTTCCAATTTTTTCTTAAAAATTTTTGTTTGTTTTGCAGCTGGCTGGTACAGGGATTGAACTCTAGACCTTGGTGTTATCAGCACTACACTCTAAGCAACTGAGCTAACCAGCCAGCCCTCCAATTTTTTTCACCCAGATTTTTCCAGGCTTATCTGTCCATTCAGGTTTTGAACTTTTTCCTGAGTCAAATATCACATTTCTTTCTCTCTCGTTTGCTTTTGTTCTCTTTTAAATTAGATGTGACTTAATTTCTTTCTGACAAAAACTCCTCTTAAACAGTTGTATGCTTTTTTGATTCACTAATTTCTCCTTTATTCTTTGTGCTTCCTAGTTTTTTCTTTGACTTCTTAAATTGAATAAAGAGTTATTTGATGTTTTTTTCCTTCTTAAACCTTGTAAGCATTTAAGGCTTTGAATTTACTTCTGATTTCAACTTTCAACATCAAAATCTGGAAGATGAGGTAAGTAATTTTCTTTTTTTTTTTATCTTTAACACAATTACTTAGAATAAGTTTATCATGCTCTTTTTGCTTAAAAACTTTTATTATTATGGTCAGATGATAAGTCAAAATTTTATAAATGTTGCATGGGGGCTTAAAAATAGGTATTTATAAAGGTGCAGAGTTTGATATTTATTCAAATCCTCTCTAATTTTGCTTTTAAACCTCTTTTTCAGAAATGTTTAATTTCTTGGCCATAGTTTTTGCTTTGTTTTGGTATTATTGCTCAATGCATACATATGCATATAGTCTATAACCGTCATAACATCATTTTGAATAATCTTTTTTTTATATAAAAATAGTTATTTTCCTGTTTGAATACTTTCTGCATGTGATATATGACAACTCTCTTTTTACTTCATAATTGGATTTTTTGGCTTTTATCTTCTATAGTAATTTAAGATGTAGAACTCATTCTACTGGTATTTGCCTTTAAGCAGATAAGTATTTTATCCATATTCCACCACTATCTTCAGTTCTTCCCCATCCAATCTTTAAGTAGCCATTCAAAAAGTTAAAAACTTTCATATTCCTGAATTTTTAATAATACTTTCCATGGACTAGTCTAAACCTTTGTCAGTTTTGGAGGAAACATCAAGAGTGTGCTGTTTTCTAAGCTCTTAAATGGCTGAGCCACTCTTTCTACTATCATATTTCATTCCATTAAAAATATGTAGATATTGATCACTTGTCTCCTGACATTTAATGTAAAAGAAATAAGGACTAGGGCTACCTATTTTTCTACCTAAATATTTGAAGAATTTTTTTTCTTTAATGTGTTTTCTCCAGGATGTCTAAGCGTGATTCTCTGCTAATTAATTTTACAGATAAAATATACCCTTTAAAATCTTTCCATTTAGGACTTAAAAATCTGTGTTCTCTATTGTTTTCATTTTCTATGATATTGGATTATATCTTCAGAGTACCATTTCTTTTTAAGAAACACTACTTATTTGTTGATTCTATATCTTCTCTGTCTTCCTTGCCATTTTTTTACCAAAATTGTCACAGTGCTTTTCAAATGTCTTCCAGATTACTGACCTTTGGATGCCATGTTAATTCTACTTACCTTCAGTGAAGTATCCTAACATATTTTGGGTTCCCTTTTTCCCTAGCTCTTGGTTCAGTTATAAGTTCTTGTCAGTTAGGATGGATACTTATTTAGGAATATTAAAAGGTGCTTAAAGTAAAGCATAGTAAGTTAAGAACTTGCTTATGGAGCTAGACTAACTAGGATTTGAACTCTAGCTCAGCTTTGAACTTACCAGCTGTTCGGCCTTGGAATTTATTTAGCCACTCCTTGCCTTGATTTTCTTATCTATAGATTTAGGATAATAATGGTACCTACCTGTATGAGTTTGGGGGAGGATTAAATGAGTTAATACAATAAAGCCTTGAGGACAGTACGTGGCACATAATGAGCCTGAACAATTAGTTGTGATTATTCTACAGAAGTTCTTGGAAATATTCTTCCTCTGAATCTTAAGAACAGTAGTTCTTTTTTTCCCACACATTATCTTTTTGTTCCTTTAAAGGATCCACAATGAATTATGTGCCAACAGATATGTGGCAAATAATTGATATTTATAATTTGATATCATACTGCCCTCTCCCCTTCCCCACTGAGTAGGAGTTTTCCCTTTTCAGAGCTAGAGTTGAGGTTGGTGTGCATAGCCACTGCCTACAGTGTTTTAACTTTTTTCCAGATGAATTGCAATTGAAGATTTTCATGCTACCGTCTACCCTGATTAAGAATAGGCATCATGGTTTATTGGAGGTGGCACTCTTTTCCCTTCCTTAAAAATTCATTCAACTTAGCTCTCACCTTCTTTCCCACTCTCTGTGCTGTTAAGTAATTCAAAGCCCAAACCCCAGGATTTTCTCAGTTTGACCCCTTCCCGCTTCTCCAACCCTGAATGCAAAGGTTATGAGAAACTGCCCGAGCACATGGGTTTTCTTTTTGTTTCTAGTACTACTGCACACACTATGTGTTTTCTTGATTTGTGGTATAAGACACTGGTAGGTTGCCCAGAGTATCCAGCTCTCACTTTAAAGAGTCTACTAAATGTAAATGTAAATGAAAGATAACATTCACTTGACCTTTAACAGTCCTCAAAAATATAAATTATGATTCTCTCAAATGGAAGTTTCTACCTACTTAAGTTACTAATACTACACACTGGTATTTCAATAGATCGATAATGTAAAAATGTGTCAAACTTTTAAAGATTACCAAAAAATTAAAACAGAAGAAAAAATTTATTTGTAATTTCAAAAGGTTTAGGGACTTGATCATTTTTATCTTGTTTTTAAAAAGTTAAAGTAGAAAACAATAAACAAAATAGCTTATTTTAAGTATAACCTGACCCAGAGTAGTCACACTGATTACAGCAGGTCTTCTGGACACATAGGGTTGTCTACTTAACAGAGGTTGTCTACAGCTTCTGAATCAGCATAGCAGAAGCCCCTCCTCCTCCATTGCAAATACTGGCAAGACCGTATTCTCCTTGCTTCAAGGCATGAGCCAAATGAACGACAATCCTGGCTCCAGACATCCTAGGGTTAAGAAAGCATTTGGGTTCTTTAATAAAGTATAGAATTTATAACTAACCAAAAAATGTTTCTATTCCAAATTAAACTCCTGAAAACTTTATTAACCACTACTTATAGATGAATTAACTACTTAAACTTGGGAGACTTATTTCAGGAAGGGTTACAGTCCTGTTAAAAGCCCAAGCATAGACTTCAGTATTATTATTTTTTTCAGCATACAAGTGACATGTGACAGGTCTCTGTGTTCAGTACTCGATACTGTCAGAAGTGGAGTTTGTCTTTTGAAGGATGGGTAGAATGGAAATGTTAAACCAAGAGCAGTAGGAATTATCATGAAGCAGTTCAAGTTTAGATAGAAATACAAAGACAGCTATTAAGCGAGACAGATTTTCTTTATGATTTTACCTACCCAATTGGATGCCCTAGAGAAACGGCTCCTCCGTTGATATTCACTTTTTGGGGATCAATACCCAGCATTTTAATGTTTGCTAGTACAACCAGACTAAAGGCTTCATTTACTTCCCACATTGTAATATCTTCTTTTTTCAATCCTGCATCTTTAAGAACCTAAATTTTTTTTTAAAAGACAGATGATATTCAAATAATTAACAGTCACAACTTATTTTCATTGTTTTCTGGAAATGTTGCAACCTTGGTTTGTATTTCCTTTTGATGTAACAATTATTCAAATAAGGAGTTTTGGGAGGAAGGGTCCTTTTATTTTCAGGCTTTTGATTTCTCATCTTATTGCACTATAATCAAAGAATTCTGTTTGTATTATTTTCTGGCTATTTTAAGGAGATAGAAAATTTGATTTTCTAGACCATTCCATGGATATTCGAAAAGAAGTTATTCTCTATTTGGGAGTACATAACATTTTATTGTCTTAAGATTTACTTTTCTGATTATACATTGCTTAGTTCTGTATTCTTGCTCTGTCAAATGAAAGAGATATATTCGTCTTTACTATTAGTATGTTTGTTTCTCACTTCCTGTGTAGTTTCTGCTTTATAGAAGTTGCTGTGAGGTTATCTGGGGAACAGATATTTACATCTGTTGTATCTTCATTATAAATCATTTATTTAAAGTCTTTCATTATATGATCTGTTTTTGTAGTTCCTCAGCTATGCAGGAAGGTGTTTTTGTGCTAGTGATTATTTTTATGCTAATTCCTTTATAAACTATTGCTAGTGCCCTTTTTCTTTATAAAAGAAATTTTGTTGTGAGCAACAATAAAATAAACATGAAACTCTTCCCATTCCTCTCTTCTATCAGTGGGCCAATGTGGCTTTCTAAGCTGTATAGCTTTAAACAGCTTCCTCTGTTCCAACAGCATGAGACAAAATAGGGCTAAGTACAGTCACTTCTATAGCTCTCAGAGTCCAGTCAGGATCTGGCTTCTACCTTCAGTATCCAGAACTGGAAAGATTGGGTAAAGAGCATAAAGAAAAATTATGATTTGTGATAATGAATATGCTAATAATAAAAAATTTTTTAAAAAAATCCAGAACTGTTTATCACCCTTGCTTTCCAGTGTGATGCATTCACTTTCAGAAGTTGTATACTTCTATCACTTTCTGAGACCTACACCTCTGGACAGATTGTCACCTACCTACTTAACCCCTACCCCACCCATTGTTTCTGATCCTTCTCTACTCTTATTCCATACTAACTCCTTTTCTTAAAATCTGGGTACTACTCTCACAAATTCACTCTCAGGGTGAGGCTCTCTCTTGGGAGGGAATATATGCTGGGGACTTCTGAGATCCCTGAACCCCTAACCAACCCTTCTCAGCACTCTCTTTTCCTGTGACCCCAGAAACTTGGTTATTTCTGCCTTTGGTAGCCCTTAAAATTTGGAATATGTAGGTTTTCTGTCTCTAGTTTTACTGTTTACTCCAAGACCTGCTGCCAGCAGTTCCCTTTCAGGATGGAGAGCACTCCTCCTGGGAGTGACTATTTGCTTTAAATTCTAGATCTGGGACCACCAGCATTCCCTCCCTGCCCCCACCAAACTCCCCCTTTGTTGCTACCACACCAGGTGTGTGAGTTCAGCATCATACTTAAATGTAATTCAGTTATGAAGTTTTTATCTGTTCTACTGGAGATGTAGTTTGTACATTGCTCTTTTACTTATTTTTTTGTTTTGTTATCCTTGTTGCTCTTATTGTTTTCAGAGGAGAAGTAGGAAGATTCTAAACCAAGCTATCTCTATGTTTTGGCAGATGAATAACATTTAAAATCTAAAAAACACAACTTTGGTATAAGCAAACCAGGAGTTGACATAATGGAGTATGGCCCATCACTTTGTTCTCACCTTTGGTATAGCATATGCAGGTGCAATTGGAAAATCAATGGGCTCTACAGCAGCATCAGCAAATGCTATTTAAAAAAAAAATAGCTTATTAAATTCTTTTTTACAAGCACCCAAAGTTATAGCTGTTAAATATAAGACATTGATTTTTGTGGGGAGGAGGGGAGCTGGGGAAAATTTGCCTTTAGGGATACACTGGCACTGTCTAGAGAGATTTTGGGTTATTACAACAGGTAGGATGCCACTGCCATTTAGTGGGTAGAGACCAACAATGCTGCTAAACATTCTGCAGTACACAGAACACCCCCACAACAAAGAATTATTTAATACAAAATCAATAGTGCAGAAGTTAAGAAACCTGACCTCGGCTAAGAAAAGAAATGAAATTAAAAGATTTTTATAAATAAACAAAATAGCATCTATTTAAGTCCTTATGAAGGCAGATTTTTACAGGTAAAAATAGGCTTAAGGAGATTGAGTGCTTGCACAAGATCCCATAGTTAATTTCTGGCATTTGCCAGAACATTTAGATTTTGTATTTGTAGACTCCTAATCCCATATTCTTTTTATTCTACCCAGCTGCTGCTTATAACAAAAATATTAAAGGAGTTTCTATCTCAATTAGAATACATATCAGTTAAATTCTGACACACAATACAACCTCGAGATAGAAATAGCCAACTCCGATATTATGGATTACCAACAATGAAACTCAATTTATGGGAAAGCTCATAGAGATTTAGGAATAAACAAGGTCAGAACATTTTTTACCTGCTATTCTTGCCAGTGGTTTAACGTTGAGCCTCTTGGCTGCGTCTGCAGTCATCAGAACCACAGCAGCTGCCCCATCATTCAGTGTGCTGGCATTGGCAGCTGTTACTGTGCCTGAAAGCAACAATGACCATGAAGTCAAAACATTCCTTTGCACTGAATTCATTTGTTCAATTTAACAAATACCTACAGAATACCAACTGGCTTGCTTAAATGTACGAAAAAATATACATGTTTCCTGCCCTCTGGAAACATGTACATAGCTAACTACAACACAATCAATGTAACAACGCCTTTTTGTGTCAGTTCTTAGTAATAGTTTTCTCAAAGCCAGTTCAGCAACACATGCATGTTGGCACTGGGTGAACGCTAGACTACAACTCTTCAAAGGCAGGGACCATATATTATTCATATTATTCTCCCTAGGGCCTAACTCTGCTTATCCAAAATATAGCAGACATTTACTATATATTTTTCAAACCAGTGTCAAATCAGGTATTTCTTCTTCTGTACAATCACCTGGAGTTAAATGTCCATGAATACTAAAACCCACTGAACTGAACAGTTTAAACAGAATTTTATGGTGTGTAAATTGTGTCAGTAAAGTAGGTTTTTTTGGGGGGGAGGGGGCAGGGGGTTGCAGCTGGCCAGTATGGGGATCTGCTCTAATCAACTGAGCTAATCAACTGGCCAGTCCCGAAGCTGTTTTTTAAAATGTCAATGAAGACTCCATAATAGACTTGTTGAATTTATAAAAATATACTCTTGCTGGCCGGCCCGTGGCTCACTTGGGAGAGAGATGCTGATAACACCAAGGCCACGGGTTCTGATCCCTATATAGGGAAGGCCAGTTAGCTCACTTGGGAGAGCGTGGTGCTGACAAGTCAAGGGTTAAGATCCCCTTACGGGTCATCTTTAATAAAACATATACATACACACAAACACACACTCTTGCAATACAAATTGTTATATGATGCTTTAAAAAAAAAAAGATCCATTCCTGTACTTAGAACTGAGAGATTGAATCACGAAGGGGAAATATTATAACTATATACAGCCAATTTTAAAAATGCACAACAGATCTTTTCTCAAAGCGTTTCAAAACAATTAGTTTAGGGCACAAAGATTCCATTGGTACCAACATTCAACAGTTATTTTTTGAGGACCTGCTATATATCAGGCACTGGAGATAACTAACAACAGCTGTCACCTTAATTGTCAAGGAGCTTATACTTAACATAATACGTAAACTTGACCTTCAAGTCACAATAAATTTTCAAGATGAACAGCATATGAAAAATTGAATTCTGTAGTCATACGATCTCTTCCCTCAGATTTATATATTGAAGATATAAACCATTAAGCAATTTTAATATACTTTGAATTAACATTTCGTTAATTTTAATTCAACCTGCTATATTGAAAATGTTAAAAAAAATCTAGATTTTTTTTATTAACATTTTTAAAATCCTTAGGTTATTCCAAGAATAGATATGGTACTCTGAGTTAATTTTTTCTTATGCTTCATTTAATACCAACCATTTTCTTTTTGGAAAACTGTCTTCAGCTTTGGAACTTTACTGAAATCAACACGTTTATATTCTTCATCTTCTTTCACCACTACATCTGGTTTACCTAAAACAAAAATATTTCAAGTAATTAAGACACTCAAGGTAACAATGAGTCATCCAGCAAGAAATTCGCACAAGGTGCCTGGTAGTCCATGCCTTCCTTTGTATGCCTGCGTACTTTAAACCATCCCTATTAAGTGCTAGAGTCTACCATCTATAATCTCCATTATGTTAGTGTCTTAAAAAGGGGTATTAACGAAAAATTTTTTTTTACTAGACACGCTTGTGCCTTTATGGGCCAAGCAGGCTACTTGAGGGTAATGAAGCGGGAAGAGTGGGTGGTCCTGATGCCTGGCCAGCCGTGCTTTACAGCCTTGTAGGTGATGGAGAACTTGCCCAGGTAGTGGCGGATCATCTCAGGCTTACTTTCCACCAGGTTGAAGGTCTTGCCATTGTACACACCCACCATGTTGTCCACCATCTCAGGCAGGATGATTATGTCCCACGGGTGAGTCTGCACCTCTGGCGGCTTCTCGGCCTTGCACAGGCGCTTCAGCAGCAAGTGCCGCTTCCACCGAAGGCCGGGTTCAGCCTCCACAGCTGTTGGTCACTATGCTACTGCATCAGCTGGTCGTAGTCCACTGCGGTTGGTGAACTTACTGAAGATCCTCTTCGTCTGCTCCACTTCCGCCTGCGTGGGACCCACCTCCTGCGGTCCTGGGCACCACCACAGGTGCACCCAAGGTCCGAGCAGGAAAACGCACGATGCCCTTCCACCCCCGTATCGAACCCCAAGGAGACATCCCGAAATTTAAATCTTATCCACATCCCATTCTCTCAGCCCCCTTCTATGGTCACAGACCCCACTCTCCTGACCCCTGGGGTAGATGTCCAACCTACACTGGGTACTCTAGTATTCTATCATCTAAAGCACAGCAATCATTCCTAGAATAGAAATGTAACCTAAATCAAGTTAATAAGTCTTTGCTGTGGATTTATTCCACAGGGGTTGGTGAGGCAGTCTCTTTTCTTTGAGAGCCCTACAAATGTGACTAGAGATGAGATGGAGGCAACTTAACTCTGAGAAAATAAAGCACAAAAGTATGCAGGAATGAGAAGCCAAGAGAGCGTGTCCTAATACTACTGAATACCTAGTTTTAATCCCTTAAATTCCCAAAGCTGACTGGTTGCTGCCGTTTTCATCCTTCAGTTGTAGGAGGTACCACAAGTAGCCTTCTAATAAATCCCTTTTTATTTAAGCTAATATATTCTCTGTCTTTTATATGAGAATTCTTTTTTTTTAAAAAAGATGACCGGTAAGGGGATCTTAACCCTTGACCTGGTGTTGTCAGAACCACGCTCAGCCAGTGAGCGAACCGGCCATCCCTATGTGGGATCCGAACCCGGGGCCTTGGTGTTATCAGCACCGCACTCTCCCGAGTGAGCCACGGGCCGGCCCGAGAATTCTAATGAATACATTTATCAAAAATAATACGCTTCTGTTCTCATGTGGAAGTTTAAAAAGTGGATCTCATAGAAGTAGCAAATAGAATAGTGGTAACGAAAGGGTTTGGGGATGGGAGACGTGATAGGGAGACGCTGGTTAAAGAATACAAAATTACAGCTATATAGGAGGAATAAGTTCTAGAGTTCTATAGCACTGTAGGATGACTATAACTATTGTATATTTTTAAAAAGGAAAGGATTTTGAATGTTCTCAACAAAAAGAAATGATAAAGCGTTGAGGTGATGAATATGCTAACTACCCTGATTTGATCATTATACATTGTATAACTATATCGAAATATCACACTGTACCCCATAAACATGTACAATTATGTGTCAATTAAAATATAATAAAAAATGATAATATACTTAGTGGCTCTTATAATTGACTTAAAATTTGACATTAAAATGAGCTGAAATATGTTATCTCTGCACTAGCAACTCTTTCCTTTATTAACAATAAGAAGTGTCAGTGTCCTCAGCTGAAATGAACAAAGATAATAATGTACTAATTTAAAACAAACAATACAATGGAATACTACTCTGCCATAAGAAAGAATGAAATGTTGCCATTCACAGCAACATGGATGAACTTAGAGAAAAGTATGTTAAGTGAAATAAGCCAGGCACAGAAAGAGAAATACTGCATGTCCTCACTTATTTCTAGGAGCTAAAAAAATTAGGAAGAAAAAAAAAATACAACAATCGCAATACATTGAACTTTTTAAGAGAAAAGAACTGTGGTTGCTGGGGGAATTGGTAAAGGGCCATGAAAATCAATTACATTGTAAAATGATGAATACACCAATTATCCTGATTTGAACATCACATATTGCACACAGGTATTGATATTCAATGCTGTACCCCACAGATAACAATCAACCAACTATGCCCCAATAAAAAATAAATTCAGCAACATGTAAAGTCTAAAAATTAAAATCTATTTTGGAACATTATCCTTCTACCTTTTACTGTAACTGTGACAGGAATAACTTCATTTCCAAATTTTCCAACTTCCCATGCTGCTTTACTTCTGGTGTAAGAGTTAACAGCATAAGAATCCTGTTCATCTCGTGCAATATTCAGCTTCTTTGCAGTATTCTCAGCACAGTTGCCCTGATAAAAGTTGGAATTTTTTTAAACGAACTTTTGCATAACCAAGAAAATGTCTTTTAACACTGTATAAGTTATTGTATAAGTTAACAGCAGTTAACATTTAAATATATTTTCTTCAAACATACTTCCTTCTGTACTAGGTAACTTTTCACTCATGTCTTACCTTCAAATACTTAAATTAGCCCAGAAGTTGCATTTTTAGAAGACCGAAAATAGGGCCAGCCCGTGGCTCACTTGGGAGAGTGCGGTGCTGATAACACCAAGGCCCCGGGTTCGGATCCCACATAGGGATGGCCGGTTCGCTCACTAGCTGAGCGTGGTGCTGAAAACACCAAGCCAAGGGTTAAGATCCCCTTACCGGTCGTCTTTAAAAAAAAAAAAAAAAAAGTCAGAAAATGGCCTATTCAGGTATGGGTCAATTTCTTTAAGAACTGAGCCATGCTAATGCATTCATTCCTAAAATGAATGACTAAATTTATAGAGCCCATCTTTCAGTTAAGTTTCCAAAATACATAATTATGTCCGCAATGCTGTTGTCCTCCTGCTGCCCAAAAATATATATAAAATAAATACTTAAGAAAGATCGAGCCGTATTGTAAATTAGATGGCATTTCTCCATTAAAAAGCAACATTTACCATGTGAATTTTATTGTAGACATCAGTTAGCCCATCTTTAACGATCAAATCTTCAAGCTTTACCCCACCATATGGTGTTGCTCCTCTGTTCATCACATATGGGACATTGGACATGCTCTCCATCCCACCTGCCACCATCACATCCTGCTCAGCAACACAAAAATCCCCATGTCAATTCAAATAGTTGCAAACACATTATACCCCTTATACACTACCAACGAACAAGTACTCTACATGGATGTATTAAACATTGTCAGTGAATATAGGAAGTATCCTCTTTACTACTTGACCCTAATGAAAGGAAATATTCTAAAATGTGTAATGAGAGTTTAGATTAGGACCACACAATAAGAACGTCAGAAATCTTTCATGTAAGACCATCTTCTGAAATTCTTACTTTCTAAACTATTTCATTCACATTGCTAAAAATGTAATGTCTTCTAAAAGATTAGAAGTAATCTCAGTTCATGGAAATAATCCTTCTACTTCCTTGATTTAGGTCCTTATCAACTCTTCCCAGACAGCTATAATAGTTTTCCATGTGATTATCTGACATGCAGCTTCTCCTTCCACCAAGGCATCATCTACACTCATCTGAGTTACTTTGTCTAAAATATGTCTGAACATTTCACACCTTAAAGAATTCAGCATAGTATATAAAGTCCGTTACAATCTGCCTTTTCTCTCCCTTTGCAGTCTCATTGCCTGGACTGACACCTCAGCTTATGCAGAACTATTTAAAGCTCTCTAAAGATGCCATCCTTGGGCCGGCCTGTGGCTCACTCGGTAGAGTGCGGTGCTGATAACACCAAGGCCACGGGTTCGGATCCCATATACGGATGGCCGGTTCGCTCACTGGCTGAGCGTGGTGCTGACAACACCAAGTCGAGGGTTAAGATCCCCTTACCGGTCATCTTTTTAAAAAAAAAGGATGCCATCCTTATTCTCACATACCTCTGCTCTTTCTGACCCATCCACCAACATGTAAAAACCTTACATTTCCTTTAAAACTAATCAAAACACAGCAACTTCTTGTTTTTCCTGACCACTTATTTCTCTCTCGAAACAGTTTTCCTTCTTTTGTGTTCCCCAATTATTGTGTAATACTTTTATTAATATTATTACACTGTATTGTAGATATGTTTATATGTCAAATCTTCTCACTAGACTAAGCTTTGAGACCAGAAACACTCATATTTTTATGTCCTTGGCAACTGGCATGTAGGAGTTTAATAAATATTAATTAAACTGTTGTTACTTTACAAGTCAATAAAAAATTCACTTGCATATAAAGACTAATTAAAAACAAACAGTTTAATATAAAACATTCATGTAAATATAAATTAAAGCCAATGATATTTTCTCACAGTTTTTAGGGCTGGCTGGTTAGCTCAGTTGGTTGTAACACCAAGGTCACAGGTTGGGATCCCTGTACCGGCCAGCCATAGAAATAAAAAATAAAAAAGGATATTTTCTCACAGTTTTTAATCAGAAATAAAAACAAGCAAAAGTTCTATACCAAAGAAATCTAAATATATTCCCTATCCTGAAATATGGAAATTCTTAATTAGTTCTCATCTAAGTTTTATTCACTTATCTTGAAATATTGAATATTTTCTGGGGATGATGGCAATAATAAATGACAGAAAATAGATCAATTTTTCTTCATTATAAAACAGACCCGTTTCCAAAATCATAGATAATTGAATATTCAAAATAAGGTCATTCCTAGTTTGCCTGTCATTGTACACATGCACAAATGAATCAAATAATACTAATTAAAAGTATTTCGATGTAGTGCAAATAGCATTTGCTAGAGAACCACAACAAATCAAGACAAAACTTTCCCTGTCATTCAGTTTTGAAACATCTAAACAATCTCATGACCATTTTTCACCCATTGGTTTCACAAGGGTTTGGTAACATCAGATGTTGGTACGGATATAGGCAAACAGGCTCACACGACTTTTATAAAGTGTAACTGGTACAACTTTCATGGGAAGCATTTTGAAAATATCAAAAATTCTTAAATCCTCTGACTCGGAAATTATTTTAGGAATTTTTCTGACAGAGACTTGTACATGAGAAGATTTTTTAATGTTTTGTTCAGTACTCTATCTCCAGTGACTGTCACATAATAGATGCTCACTAATAAGGGGCAGAACTAGGATTTGAAGTTTGCAGACTGTACTCTTAACCACTACACTGTACTGTATCAGTGGAGTAGAATTAGTGTAAGTACAAAAGATATATGTATACTACAGCATTATTTAAAATAGTGAAAAAGTGGAAACAACCTAGATGTCCATTCAATAAGGACCTGTAAAATACCTATACTTGTTCAATTCAGTAGAATACTATCTTATGTGCTGAGAGAGAAAGGTCTCCAACACATTCAGTGGGATACAGAGCGGTTAAGCAACTTGCCCAAAGTTTCTCTGGTCTTAAGTGGCAGAATACCTAAACTCGTAAATGAGTAAGTGACTCACGGGGGTGAGTAAAAGACTTTTTTTTTCCCCCTTTTTGTCTTTTTTCGTGTCCGGCAACGGATCGCAACCCTCAGTGTCGCGCCCGGACCGGGACCGGCAACGGGATCGCAACCCTCGGTGTCGCGCCCGCACCTCGCTCAGCCAGTGAGCGGCCGGTCTGCATGTGGGATCCAAACCCTCGGCGGGAGCGCCACCGCGCTCCCAAGCGGCGCACTATAGTAAATCCTGTGTTTTTCTGTAGATTTGTTGCCTGGATGACATGCTGAATTATGATGGGGTACTGTTCAGGTCCCCCACTATTATCACCTTTTTGTCTTTTTTCGTGTCCGGCAACGGATCGCAACCCTCAGTGTCGCGCCCGGACCGGGACCGGCAACGGGATCGCAACCCTCGGTGTCGCGCCCGCACCTCGCTCAGCCAGTGAGCGGCCGGTCTGCATGTGGGATCCAAACCCTCGGCGGGAGCGCCACCGCGCTCCCAAGCGGTGCACTGTAGCAGTGCGCCACCGGACCGGCCCCAGAGACTTATTTTTTATATAATACTTTTCTACACCATTTGAGTTTTTAGCATGTGCATATATTGCTTTTGTAATGAAGTATCTTGTACAGTAACTCAGACATCACTCCATCCTTTCCCCCACCCTTTCTCTTTGGCTTACCATCTAACTGGAAAAAAAGCAAGGCAGGAGTAAGAGCAAAGGGCGCACAAAATTTTAGTTCTTGTGTATGTAAAAAATAATTTGCAAACACCTCACAATTGATTTTTACCCTTGTCTATTACACCCTGATAGGCTGGAATGCACTAGATAAGGATAAAGACATCTGGTTTTTTTTATTATGAGATACCTGTTTTTCATTTCAGCCCTATAACTTTGCATTTGTGACCATCTCAGTTTCACTTTCCTCATCTTAAAAATGAAGAGCTTGGGTTGGGGCCAAAAAAAAAAAAAAAAAAAAGAAGGGCTTGGAACTCTTAGTTCTATGAATCTACATCTAGTCTCCTAAAATCGTGGCATATATTTGCTGAGCAGCCTATCTCTTGCTTGATCTCAGTAAAGACACAATCTAGATCAGCAAGGCCAACAAAAAGCTTGCACACTTAGGTAAAGACAAGATCTAGATCAGCAAGGTCAATAGAAAGCTTGCAGAACTTAACAAATGAATTTGGGCATTGTAGTCATCAATCCTGGGTTCCATCAATGATTTGATTCCCAGGGTCAGCACCTTGTTCTCTTTTATGAACGAAAACCCTTCTTCTGGCAAATACAGAATTTATGATTTTTTAAATCACCCAGAATCTCATTCTCTGACTAAAACACTTGGCTGAAAACTATTTTTTAACACAAGGCTATCGTTTAACACTTTGGCTATCGTTTTCAAATGGAATTAGCAAATCCAGACATTCCTGAGTGCCTAAGACAACACAGTAACTTTACTTATGAAAAGGAATCTCATTGCTAATGCATGAATGTTCTTAGATCTTTAGCACTGGATATTATTTTAATTAGTAAATGGAAAAGAAGGTGCTTCTTACCTGATGTCCACACATAAGATTTTGAGAGGCCATCATGATGGCTTTCATTCCTGAAGCACAAACTTTGTTTACAGTGGTGCATGGAGTAGAAACAGGCAAGCCTAAAATCAATATAAGTCATACTTTTGAAAAAGAGATACTTTTCAAATGCAACTGTAGAATTAAAACTAACAGAATTGAGGATGTGTCTATAATCTTCAACATTTCTTCTGCCAATATGTTTATAAATGTTAAATCATATTATGCATTTAATATTTTATTTAAACTAAAATGAACTCCATTTTGCCACTTCAAACATTTTAACTATGGGCCGGCCCGGTGGCGCACTGGATAGTGCGCCGCTTGGGAAGCACAGCGGCGCTCCTGTCCGAGGGTTCGGATCCCACATACAGACCGGTTCCCGCTCACTGGCTGAGCAAGGCGCGGGAGCAACACCGAGGCTTGCGATCCCGTTGCCGGTCCCCGGTCCGGTACGGGGGCAACACTGAGGGTTGCGATCCGTTGCCGGACACGGAAAAAAGACAAAAAGACAAAAAAAAAAAAAAACATTTTAACTAGAAAAGCAAAAATGTACTTCTGGTACCTGCACCCAGTACTGCTTGCCTTGTAGGGGCTTGTCCTTCACCTCCTTGTAGAACATTTCCCATGTATGCTTCTTTCACTTCGTCTTTTGGAATCCCTTTTTAAAACACCAAAAAGGCATTTCCATATTTTATTCAATGTAATGATTAGTGATTATCTAATAAGGTACATTAGGTTACATAGCAGGAATGGTTTCTTTTTCCTGTCAGTTTTGAGTTTCATTCCTAACTTTATAGTACAGATTTCTTTACAAGGGAATTCAGAAATGTGGGCATTAAGTCATTTCATAGTATTATGTGACTTAAGTGCAAAATAAGTATCTGTTACATTGAATCATTTTGCCCCCTCAACACAAAAAGCAAAGCAACTACTGACCTGCTTTTTCAATGGCTCCCTGAATTGCAATGGAACCAAGTTTAGTGGCTGGCAGGGAGGAAAGGCTGCCTAGAAAGGATCCAATGGGTGTTCTTGCAGCACTTACTATAACCACTTCCTGGAAAGACAGAAGATGGTTAAAACTACTACAGGTATTTTATCCAAATCATTTTTCATTAAATAAACATAATTCATGGGCATATTATCTAAGAAAGAAATTATTTTTATGAATGAGCAGTCATAAAAGACTAAAATAATCTTAATATTTGAAAAGATATAAAACTAATCAGCTCAATGCTAGCACTTTATGATTTAAGACCTAACAGAAAATCTAAGACAAACCAACTCCCAAACAACATACATTCTCCCCAGTTCTCCACAGGAGTTTTAAGGCCAGATGCTTAAATTTCAATTCTATTTCTCAGTCAAAAAATTTTAAAAATGGCACTTTACTCTGTTAACTACATAATAAACAACACTAACTAAGAAGGGTCCATTACTGAAGGGAGTTCTGGGCTAGGGATCAAGACCTGTATGCTAGATGCGGCCATACCACTTAACTAGGACACAGCCAGAGACATAATTTCTTTTCTTTTTTTTTTTTTTTTTTTTTAATTTTGGTGGCTGACAGATACGAGGATCTGAACAGAGCCATAATTTCTTAAACAACTAAGATAATAATATCGAAATTAAGAAAAAGTAGAAAAAGCTCTCTTAAGTACTATAAAACACTACTGTAACAATTCTCTCCACATTTGTCTTCCACAATCTCCCATTAAACTCAAGATAAATAAGAGAAGTATTCCCTACATTTCGATAGAAAGATATTACTAAGTCACTTAAGGGACCCTTATAAAACAAAGAAAGGACACCTCAGAAAGCACTAGGTGTGGGGCCAGCCCGGTGGCTCACTCGGGAGAGTGCGGTGCTGATAACACCAAGGCCCCGGGTTCGGATCCCATATAGGGATGGCCGGTTCGCTCACTGGCTGAGCGTGGTGCTGACAACACCAAAGTCAAGGGTTAAGATCCCCTTACCGGTCATCTTTTAAAAAAAAAAAAGAAAGCACTAGGTGATGGGGTGATGGCCCTTCTTGTCTAATCCCCAGCTGATCCAGTCCCTCTCTTCTAGGATCTTCCATGTGGCCTCTACATTATGCCACACGCAATATAATGAGGGTCTCTAAGAGTAAGGGGAGAACACTGCCCAGTTTTAGAGGGAAGGCTGTTTTGCAGCAGACAACAAAGAAGCACAGGAATTATGCAGGGACTAACTGAAATTTTTTTACGGTAATCTACGAGTTTAATTTGATAGTTGAATAATCAGCTATTCCTAATCATTGCATAATCCTGCATTGACCTTCACACAAACCCAAATCATAAGTGAATGCATTTCTTTTAAATTCTTGAAATTTTAAAGCACAATTTAAATTTATACTTACATTCAAAGTGGACTTTGATACATAACTTCGTTCTACATATCTCATTTTCTGTAAAATAAATAATAATGTTATGATGTAAAAAATATTAATCTACACTGTTTTAGTCCGTTTGGTGTTGCTATAACAGAAATACCTGAGACTGGGTAATTAATAAGGAAAAGAGGTTTATTTGGCTTATGATTCTGAGACAGCTGCATCTGGCATGGGCCTCAGGCCGTTTCTACTCATGGCAGAAAAGTGGCAGGCAGCCGGCGGGTACAAGCAGATCACATAGCGAGAGGAAGCAAGAGAGAGAGAGGAGGTGCCAGGGTCTTTTAAAGCAACGAGCTCTTGCAGGAATAGAGCGAGATCTCACTCATTAATCCCCCCTCCTCCAGGGAGAGCATTAATCCATTCATGAGGGATCCATCCCCATGACTCAATCAGTTTCCAACACTGCCACATTGGAGATCAAATTTTCACATGAGTTTTGGAGGGGACGACACATCCAAACTCCATCATACATCATTTTATACTTCTCAGTGATGGGGCTACTTCCCATCCACTTCCACAAATGTCAGACTTATATGAGGTGGCAAACACACCTCATAAGAATATGGTCTATATTACGAGTTACATTCTTTTTTAAGAAAGGAAAGAGTAAACATCTTGTCCCTACCACTACTCAATTCTTTCCACAGTTCTTAGGAACAAATGCCAACAAGAAGAAATTCTAAAAATGCAGAACTAACTGATCTGAAACTGAATTATTTACAGGACAAAGAACAAAGAATAAAATGCTTTATCCTCGGGCCGGCCCGTGGCTCACACGGGAGAGTGTGATGCTGATAACACCAAGGCCCCGGGTTCGGATCTCATATAGGGATGGCCGGTTCGCTCACTGGCTGAGTGTGGTGCTGACAACACCAAGTCAAGGGTTAAGATCCCCTTACCGGTCATCTTTTAAAAAAAAAAAATGCTTTATCCTCTGAGGTCAGAAAGCATAACAAATATTCAAAAATGACAGTTTATATATAGAACCTAATCTTGTTGATAGTTATAATGGGCAATCACATCTCATAAACAAGCCTACAAACATCTAAACTTTAAACTGACCTAAGAATTTAGCTTTTCACAGACTAAACATGCTTTGTCCTGACTCAATGCAAGTACTAACTAAAACTTTCAATTTACAATTCAGAACAGACAAAAAGAGAGTGCATTTGACAAGTACATTTGTAAATGGAAATAACCACAAGGTACCTCCCCAAATTGTTTTTGTTTTGTTTTGTTTTGGTGGCTGGCTGGGACAAAGATCACACCCTGGACGTTGGTGTTATCAGCACCATTCTGTAACCAACTGAGCTAACTGGCCAGCCCCACAAATTGGTTTTTCTAAACAGTTCAGATGAGGACAGATACATGCAAATGGCAGATTAAAAACAGAATGTTTTCGGGCCGGCCCGGTGGCGCACTGCTACAGTGCGCCGCTTCGGAGCGTGGTGGCGCTCCCGCCGAGGGTTCGGATCCCACATACAGACTGGTTCCCGCTCACTGGTTGAGCGAGGTGTGGGAGCAACACCGAGGGTTGCGATCCCGTTGCGGGTCCCGGTCCGGTACGGGCACGACACTGAGGGTTGCGATCCATTGCCGGTCACAAAAAAAGACCAAAAAAAAAGGAAAAAAAAATAATAATAATAAAAAAAAAAAGGGAAGCACAGCGTAAAGATTTGGAAAATTTGCAGCTTGGCCATGTGGTAGAGAAGCAGAGAGCAAGAGAAAAATGCAACAGTGAAGCAGACAAACTGTTTGCTAAAGACATTATCTTGGCAATGAGGCAGCTAGATGTTAATAACCAGGACAATGGAAAAAATGTCCTAAAGGCATTTGAGAAGTCTGGAAGGGTACCCCACAAATCACAGGCCCTGAGGCCTAGAAGGACTGAGTTGTCCCAGAGGATCGACCTGGGGTGCAGCTGCCCCCGGGAACCTGCTCCCTGCATCCCAGCTACTCTGGCTGGAGTGGCCTCAAGTGTGGTTCATGCAGCAGCTCTGTAGTGTAGAGGCCTGAAATCTTGGAGGCATCCATGTTGTGTTAAGTCCACAGGCCAGCAGGATGTGAGAGCAGTGGAGGCGTGGCATCCTCCACCAAGATTCCAGAGGATGTACGGAAAAGCCTGGGGACCCAAGCAGAGACCTGCCACTGGGGCAGAGCTGCCACAGTGGTGGAGCCACTGCAGAGGCCATCTATTAGAGCAATGCTGAGCAGGAAAGTAGGGTAGGATCCCACATAGAGAGCCCCCACCAGGGAAATGTCTAGTAGAGCCAAGGCAGTGGGGCTGCCTCCAGGACTCCAGATCTGTAAGGACAGATCTGTAAGGCTGGCAAAATGCAACATCAGCCTTGAAAAGCTGGGCCAGCCCGGTGGTGCAATGGAGAGTGCGCCGCTTGGGAGCGCGGAGGCGCTCCCGCCGAGGGTTCGGATCCCATGTGGAGACCGGTTCCCGCTCACTGGCTGAGCACGGTGCGGGCGCAACACCGAGGGTTGCGATCCTGTTGCCGGTCCCCGGTACGGGTGCGACACCGAGGGTTGCGATCCCGTTACCGGTCAGTAAAAAAGACAAAAAATGGAAAAAGAAAAAAGAAAAGCTACAGGTACCAGTGCATCTCGATGGGCTGCACCTAGCAGAGCTGTAGGAGCAAGGGTGCCCAAGGTTTTGGGGGCCCAGATGCCCCATTGTGCCCAGGATACAGGACTTGGAGTCAAAGATTACTTTGGAGCTTTAAGACATAATGTCTGCCCTGCTGGGTTTTGGACTTGTTTGGGATCTGTTTCTTTCTTCTGACCTATTCATCCCTTTTGAAATGAGAATATGTACCCAATGTCTGTTCCACCATTGTATCTTGGCAGTAGATAAATATGGTTTTGACTTTTACAGGTTCACAGCTGGAAGGACTTTTGCTTTAGGTCTCAGATGAGACTCTGGACTTTGGACTTTTAAGTTGGTGCTGGAACAAGCTAAGACTTTTGGGACTGTTGGGATGGAATGATTGTATTTTGTATGTGAGAGGGACATTGAGTTTGGATGTATGGTCCCCTCCAAAACTCATGCGGAAATTTGATCTCCAATGTGGCAGTGTTGGAAACTCAGTCATGGGGGTGGAACCCTCATGCACGGATTAGTGCTCTCCCTAGGTGGGGGGGGGGGGATACTGAGTGAGTTCTCGCTCTATTAGTTCCCACGAGAGCTGGTTGTTTGTAGGACCCTGGCACCTCCTCTCTCTCTCTTGCTTCCTCTCACCATGTGATCTGCTTGTACCCGCCGCTGGCTGCCTGCCACTTTCTACCATGAATAGAAGCAGCCTGAGGCCTGTGCCAGATGCAGCTGTCCCAGAATCGTAAGCCAAATAAATCTTTTCTCCTTATAAATTACCCATTCTCAGGTATTTCTGTTATAGCAACACAAATGGACTAAAACAGCTGGTTCATTTTTATTCTTCATGTCTTTATTCTTCATATCAAATGACACACCCCAGAGTGATCCTCCCTAACCACTCTATTTTAAGTTGGCCTCTACTTTTTACTTTCTTTTATATCAACATCTTTATCTCCTTCAAAGCACCTCTCACACTGTGTAAGAATATGGTTTCATCTCTTTGTTTTATTATGCATCCCCTCCCCCCACCCCAGCACAATGCAAGCTTCCTGAGAGCAGGACTGTGTCTCTTCTTCACAGCTACATGTCCCTACTACTTAGTGTGTCTTTTTTTTTTTTTTATAAAGATGACCGGTAAGGGGATCTCAGCCCTTGGCTTGGTGTTTTCAGCACCACGCTCAGCCAGTGAGCAAACCGGCCATCCCTATATGGGATCCGAACCCGTGGCCTTGGTGTTATCAGCACTGCACTCTACCAAGTGAGCCACGGGCTGGCCCTCTACTTAGTGTGTCTTGTTCACTGCTACATCCCAATCACTTAGCACAATGCCTAGTGCTCATTAAATATCTGAGAAACAAATGACAAAATCAAAGGATGGTTAGAACACTAAACATAGTGTGTCATAAATAAGTGCTCAATGAACACAACCAGTTAAGTTTTATCTACATAACAATCACCTTTCATGATAGCTCAGCTGTACTGCCAACTCTGGAAATCTCACCCAACCATGCCAGGAAGAGGTAGGCACTCCTATCTCAGCTTCCACTGTACCCTGTGCACATTCTAATTGTTCCAAGAATATATAATTTTGTAACCCTCAGGTAGCTTTACTGTCTTCCCACTAGATTGTGAGTTCCAAGAAGAGACTATTTTGTTTTACTTATTTTCTATCTCAGTGATGGCAGTAGATGCTAAACAAATATTTGAACAAAGTCTGACTCTTACTAGCAACTCTGAGAAAATTTCAGCTAGAGTAAAACCTTTATGAAACCAGAAACATGGGATGAGTCTGAGAGTAACTAAGGGCCTACTTTACATGGGATGGTCAAAAAAGTCTCTGAAGATGTCAACAGAGCTGAGAAACATAAATTAAAGAGCCAGTATTGGGAAGATCTAAGAAAAGAACATTTGAGGTGTGGGGAACAACCTGGGACAAAGGCTGGCACTTAGAACAAAACTGGCACTTAGTAAGAATAGAAAGAAGGGGCCAGCCCGTGGCTCACTCGGGAGAGTGCGGTGCTGATAACACCAAGGCCCCGGGTTCGGATCCCATATAGGGATGGCCGGTTCGCTCACTGGCTGAGCGTGGTGCTGACAACACCAAGTCAAGGGTTAAGATCCCCTTACTGGTCATCTTTAAAAAAAAAAAAAAATGGGTATGGAATATGTATTAGAGTAGAGCCAGCCAGCGGGTGCTCTCATCTCACACATGAAGAAACTGAAGCACAGGCAGGTCAAGCAGCCTGCCAAACATCACACAGCCAGGAAAGGGCAGAGCTGGGACTTCAAATCCAGGCAGTCTGACTCCAGAGCCTCTACGCTATTAGAAATATCATATATTTTATTAAAAATAGTAATAAACTTTAGGAACTTGGGGCAACAGCTCTTTCCAAAATACTGCATTTTTAGTCATTAATTAATTGCTTATGACTGTTCACTGATAAAGCCTGTAAAAATGACAGTAATTGTTTATTATTCCTTTGTAAGTATATGTGGAACCATAGGAGACACAATAAAAATTCACAGGTAACATCTACATATCAAAATAACTGTAAAAAGCAGTCAAATGAATTAGAAAATAAGCCATTGTTGAGGATATGACTGAAAAGTGATTAAATCATTTTTAAACTTTTCAACTTCTTAGGATAGAGGGCTTAGTAGTTAGTACTCAAAATACTTTTTGTATATATTTTCTGTATAAAGAATGCAAGTTCCCTTACATAAAAGCATGATATCCCGGGCCGGCCTGTGGCTCACTTGGGAGAGTGTGGTGCTGATAACACCAAGGCCATGGGTTCGGATCCCATATAGGGACAGTGAGCGTGGTGCTGACAACACCAAGTCAAGGGTTAAGATCCCCTTACCGGTCATCTTTAAAAAAAAAAAAAAAAAACACCCCATGATATCCCAAATATATATTTCTTCATGTCTTTATGAATGTCTCCAAGTATTAAATAATTATGCTAATTTCAATCAACACCTTTCATTTTATATATATGTTTATTTTATGAATTCCTTTAATTTATATGACTCCTTTGTTAAAATCTTAGGGCCAGCCAGTTAGGTCAATTGGTTAGAGGGCAGTGTTGTAACACCAAGGTCCAAGGTCCAGATCCCTATAACAGCCAACTGCCAAAAAAAACAAAAATAAAAAAATCTTTCATACCCACTCTGGTATCTTATAAATTTTGACACTGTTCACAAATTGTTGACATCGAGGACCAGCCTGTGGGTCACTTGGGAGAGTATGGTGCTGATAATACCAAGGCCACGGGTTCAGATCCCTGTATAGGGATGGCCGGTTAGCTCACTTGGGAGAGCGTGGTGCTGACAACACCAAGTCAAGGGTTAAGATCCCCTTACCGGTCATCTTTAAAAAAACCTAATACAGGGCCGGCCCGGTGGCGCACTGGAGAGTGCGCCACTTGGGAGTGCGGCGGCGGCGGCGCTTCCGCCGAGGGTTCGGATCCCATGTGGTGACCGGTTCCCGCTCACTGGCTGAGCGTGGTGCGGGTGCAACACCGAGGGTTGTGATCCCATTGCCGGTCAGTAAAAAAGACAAAAAGGAAAAAAAAAAAAACCTAATACAAAATGGGATTTTCAAGGATTGGGTAGTTAATAGTGTCAAATAGTATATAAAGGTCAAGAAAAAGGAAAAAACACAGAAAGGACATTACTGGTATTTTTCAGCTGAGTGGCACAGAAATTTAACTGCAGAGAGTCAAAGAGAAATGGATGTAGAATAAATGGGAGATGATGAGCAGAGACTACTAGTTCTTTGACCAGAGAGAAAAGCAACTATAACTAGAAAGACAGCGAACAGCGATAAAGTCCATATGGTGTGCTGACCACAGGTTGGACTCGTGCATATTTGAAAGCAAAGGGGAAAGAGCCAATGTAATGGGTGACAGGTTAAATTCCATTCCACAAAACGGCACAGAAAATTGAAAATCCTGCTAAAAAGATTTCCACGGTTCAATAAATGACCACTTAATTCAAGTAACATCCAATACAACTGATTCTTAGAGTTCAATAAAATAAATACCCCATATAGTACACTACCTAACCTACAGGTTCACTTTTTTCATCAGGAACATTTGTGTTTGACTGTCAGATCCTAATTAAATCATAAATTAAGAAGGTTCTGCACTTGTTTTTTTACATACCTACAGTACCTAGTGTACCCAGTCAACATTGGTTGAAACTCAAGTTAACCTAATTATATTTTTGTGATTTCTCAAGTCATTCCATGAAACAATGAAACCTACTTTCCCAGAAACCTACTCTTTCTGGATTTTCTATTATCTCAGCCACCCAGGATTAATTTTAGACTCTTCGTCTCCCCACCCTCACTCCATAGCTCAGTCCTACACTTATTTTTTCAGTTTTTTGCATAATGCTGCTTCCTTTCAGCTCCTATTGCCAGAACCCTAATTCAAGTTATGTTATTCTACACCCAGACAGACATTAGTCTTTTCTCCACTCTAACTCTACATGACCTACGATTACAACAAAAACAAAAATATCCCCATTGACCTGGGTCAAATCCAAGCTGTTACAACGTAATTGAATTTCAAAGTTTATTACCCCGCCCAAACTAAACTCAAATTTCACCAGCCACGCCCAGAAGTTCCCTACCCATTACTGAGGCTTTTGCCAGACACTACATCTGGGGTGCAAGTTCCCTTGCTTGACTTACGGAAAGTAAGTTCTTTCAAGGCTCTGCCTCTACTGTATTCCCCAAATACCCCTCTGTACGCCCTCATTTATTTCTTGTACTATCTGAGTAGCCATTTATTGTCCCTGTTAAGTTTCTTTTTTTTTTTTTTAAAAGATGACCGGTAAGGAGATCTTAACCCTTGACTTGGTGTTGTCAGCACCACGCTCACCCAGTGAGCTAACCGGCCATCCCTACATGGGATCCGAACCCGTGGCCATGGTGTTATCAGCACCACACTCTCCCAAGTGAGCCACCGGCCCCCCTGTTAAGTTTCAAATTGCTCCAGGGTAGGAACATCTTTTTGTTAATCACATAAGGCCTCACCCCTTGTATGCCCAATGTTTACCTACTGCATGAAAAAAAAGAGGAAAAAAAGCAAACCTCTCTCTTAACAATTATTCTCACAAACATGTTTTTTTTTTTTTTTCCTTTTTGTCTTTTTTCGTGTCCGGCAACGGATCGCAACCCTCAGTGTCGCGCCCGTACCGGACCGGGACCCGCAACGGGACCGCAACCCTCGGTGTTGCTCCCGCACCTCGCTCAGCCAGTGAGCGGGAACCGGTCTGTATGTGGGATCCGAACCCTCGGCGGGAGCGCCGCCGCGCTCCCAAGCGGCGCACTGTAGCAGTGCGCCACTGGCCGGCCCCCTCACAAACATGTTTTAAAGAAAATCTCGGAAACAATTGTATCTGCTGCAAAGAGGCGTATCTCTCCAGTCTAGCGGTCAGGCCGGGCGAGGCAGTCCCGGGCCTTCCCACCTGTCCAAATGTGTGCCCCTTCCGGCGCACGACTCACAGCAATTACGGTGACTAGGCGGAGAGGCTGGTCACAGAAACGCGCTTTGTGAACATAAGCCAGTCACTGCGCGCTGTCGGGGCCCTATGGAGCTCTTCGAGGGGGAGTCCCGTCGGTGGCCCTCTTGGGGCCTACGTTTAAGGCTGCGCCCAGGCCGCAAGACCGCCGGCAGGAACCGCGGAGGTAGAACCTTCCGAGACAGGGGGAACCGGCCCATCCAAAGCCGGGTCCCAGCATGGTGGGGACAGGGCCCACCCGGGGGGACGAGACCCGCTCACCTGCATCAGCCCCCGAAGCAGGGGGCTGCGCCCGCGGGCGCTGCCGCGCACAAGCGCCGCCAGCACAGCCATGGTCGCAGAGGGCGGAGAGGTGGCTTCAAGGGCGGAGACGCCCCGCAGCAGCGCCCCACCCACCTCTGCGTCCTCCTGTCCAGCGGCCGGGAGCAGGCCCCGCCCCCTGTCCCGCCCCCCTCTTTCCGGTCGGCGGCGCTTGGCCGGCAGCCACGGCGGGCGGGGCCTGGCGCTGGGGCGGGGCTGAGGGAGGCGGACGTGACGTCAGGCCTGGCACCTGGGCTAGTCAGCACCTGACGCGCTGTTCCCGTTTCCACGACTTCTAACCTTCGGAGGCCAGTGGTTTATGTGTAAGCAGAGCCTGCTTCTCTCAGTTATACCCGCCCAGTACAAAGGAAACTCATGAAAATATTTTGAAGAAATCCAATTAGCTTTTAATTTATGACGAGATAATTTTGCACTTGTTTTCCAGTGAAGGAGGAAGAACAGGAATAGAATACATATTAATAGCTAGACATTAATGAACAATTAGTAAGGATATTAATCTTCACAAAACCCCCCGTTAATTCAATGCTGCTATTATCCACCATTCAACTATTGAGGTAACTGAGATACAAAGAAGTCAACTTCTTTTTTCCAGGATTGCACAGAACGTGGTAGAGCTGAACTGATATCATTATATTCATATTGCTTTCCTATACCTTTTCCCAGAGAACAGTATAAATGTTAGCTATGATCATTCTCATGTTTGGGAACCCATTACTTTTTGTTTTGTTTTTTGACAGGTGGCAGATACAGGTCAAAGCGGGGAACTAACCCTGATCTCTCCTAGCTACCCGCCTGACCCCAGAGGGGCGGGGGGCGGGGAGAAGGGGAATAGCTTAAGAAAAAGTGGCTTGACCGACCTGGCAGGGCAGGCTGGATTTCTAGGAGTAGCAATAATAAGATGAATAGCATCGATTAAACAAACTTCCTTAGGCTAAGACTTCATCTGGAGGTCAGAATGTTTGTTCCTTAAATAAATGCCTTATGGCTTAGGATAACATTCTGTAATGAGTCGTCTCTGCAGATAACAACTACTGTGAGCCTACTCTGAAATGCACACACCCTGGACCGTAAGACACCATAGAAAATACCAATCCAGGTGCCAGAAATAATTACACTGACCTCACCGCCCACCAATCAGATTCACATGTGACTCTTGGGTACCCTCACTCATGATTTTTCTCTATAAATGCTTGTGATTCTAAGCTATGAGGGAATACAGAGTCTTAAAAGCTCTTTTGGCTACCACAGGCTCCTTTGAATGGCATTCAAATAAATGCTCATCTTTAACACTGAAAACTTTGGGCGTGAGAGATTTCTTAGATATTTGGGCAGTGGATGACGGACCCCTCTCAGTTTGGTAACAAATTTGGTGGCCCATATGGGGACACATGCTCTCATGGGTGTTTCGCCCATGGCGCCTCAGATTCCCAGCCAACTGCAGATTCCCAGATACCACCTTAGCAGCTGCTGGAGACCATTTTGCTTGGAGACGGGTTTTAGACCTTCCCCAGCTGACTGGGTGCTGAGGCCAAATGCCCCCCATCCTCCCAAACTTTGCAGTTGGCTTTGGACTGGGAAGGTGCCTTGGTAAGTGACAGCCTGGTACGATGACACCAAGAACCTAGTTCTTTCTGCTATAAGCTTTTGCTTTTGGTACAAAGGACTTACTTTTTCCCTTATTTGGGGGGCAGTGAGAATCAACCCAGTAAGACTGTCTTGGTTTTGGTTTTCTGATTCTTTTGTTCGTTCCGTGTTTGTCCAGCATGCCTTGAAGGAGTTACCAGCAGAAGCTTGATAGGCCTTACACCTGGTAGCTGTTCATTCAATCTTGACCAGACTGAGCCACCAGCCTGAGGTCAACCCTCTCCACCTTGAGTGGATAATAGGCATCTGGTGCAGCCCAGGACGAGTTCAAGTCTCAACAGGATGCCCCCATTAAGGGAATAACATCAGGGTCGGCTCGTGGCTCACTTGGGAGAGTGTGGTGCTGACAACACCAAGTCAAGGGTTAAGATCCTCTTACCAGTCATCTTTTAGAAAAAAAAAAAAAAAGTAACAATATTCAGGGTCCAGATAGAGACACTGGTCACAGGCCTTTTGTCTTATTTCTCTGTTTATGAGTTGTCTCAGGAGCTACAGAAACTGGTTCAAGGGGCTGGCCCGTGGCTCACTCGGTCGAGTGCGGTGCTAATAACGCCAAGGCCCCGGGTTTGGATCCCACATGGGGATGGCCGGTTCGCTCACTGGCTGAGTGTGGTGCTGACAACACCAAGTCAAGGGTTAAGATCCCCTTACCGGTCATCTTTTTTAAAAAAAAAAAAAAAGAAAAAGAAACTGGTTCAAAATTTTGTTCAGAACAGGGACTAGGAGCTCAATCCCACCATGCAGCCCTCTTGGCTATGTTCTGCAGTACTGGGCTAAATTCAGCTATGAGCCCATGAAGAAGAAGAAAATGACCTATTATTGCAACACTGCTTGGCCCCCATACTTGTTGAGAGACCAAGAAAAATGGCCAAAAATGGCTCTTTAAATTATAACATCATTTTGCCATTGGAGCTGATTCGTAAAAAATAAGGTAAGGGGCAGTTGGTTAACTCAGTTGGTTAGAGCATGATACTGATAACATCAAAGTCTAGGGTTCAATCCCTGTACTGGCCAGCTGCAAAAAAAAAAAAAAGTAACAGAATGAAGTCCCATATGCCATATGCCCAGGCTTCCGTGCTTGTGTATTTTGTACCAGAGTGAACCTATTTTTTTTTTTTTTTTTAAACCGAACCTGTGGCCTTGGTGTTATCAGCACCGCACTCTACCGAGTGAGCCACGGGCCGGCCCTGAACCTATTTTTAAAAAACGTAATTTATGCTTTTCTTCGTATCAACCTAAGTTTGTCAGTGATTTTCTCAGCAGCGAGGAGAAAGTTTTCCCTTGGCACCCATGGTTATGACACCATGAGCAGGATTTCAAAGCCGCTCACACCCAAACTCCTTGGAAAAACTTACATTCTTTCCCTGTACTTTAAAATATAAATCTGCTGGGCTGGCCCTGTGGCTCACTCGGGAGAGGGCAGCGCTGGGAGCACAGCGGCGCCCGAGCACCGAGGCCGCGGGTTCAGAACCTATATAGGGATGGCCAGTGCGCTCACTGGCTGAGCGCAGTGCCGGTGACACTAAGCCAAGGGTTATGATCCCCTTACCAGTCACAAAAATATATATATATATAAATCTGCTACCTGGCTTTAGGCAGAGCTTCTGTCACATGGGACAGATAAGCTTTAACCTGTTCCTTCTATAGAGACTCAATTTAAATCCATCTGTTGTTTTTGTTTAGTTTTGTTTGTTTTTGTGGCAGCTGGCTGATTCAGGGACCTGAACCCATGACCTTGGTGTTATAAGGATGTGTTCTAACCAACTGAGCTAACTGGCCAGCCCACCAACTGTTTTTTAACTAATGAATTTTATATTAAATCTGTCTCAAAACTAAGATTTTAAATTAAAACTATAAGATCTTTATTTCTATGTTTCTATGTATATGCGTTTATACATATGTAAGCTGTATGTTGTGTCTACATGTATGTTATGCTTATACACATCTGTATATTGTCCACATAGTACCACATTGGCTTATAAATGATACATGCATAATCTTTGGTAAATAAAGCTAGCATTTAGGATTATTGGTAAAATAAAATAAAAAATGTTTTCTAAATTTAATTTAGACATCTTTGCCTACATTCGTATGTTGGTCAAAATAGATTGGGGCTAGCCCGTGGCTCACTCAGGTGAGTGCGGTTCTGATAACGCCAAGGCCATGGGTTCGGATCCCATATAGGGATGGCCGGTTGGCTCACTGAGTGAGCGTGGTGCTGACAACACCAAGTCAAGGGTTAAGATCTCCTTACTGGCCATCTTTAAAAAAAAAAAAAAAAAAAAAAGATTTATACTCTCTCTGATGTTTTAAAGTCATAAAATTGTTGCTTTTGTGAGATTTTTTCCTTTTGTCTTTTTTTTGTGACCGGTAACGGGATCGCAACCCTCTGTGTCGCGCCCGTACCGCAACCGGCAACAGGATCGTAACCCTCGGTGTCACGCCCGCACCGCGCTCAACCAGTGAGCGGACCGGTCTCTATATGGGATCCGAACCCTCAGCGGGAGCGCCGCCGCACTCCCAAGCGCCGCACTCTACCAAGTGCGCCACCGGGCCGGCCCTTTTGTGAGATTTTTTTATGCTTACTTTTTTTATGAACTAAAGCTATGAAGACTGGCTACTGGGCTTCCCACAGAGTTTTGCACACATCTTGCTGTAAGCTTATGTCTTTCGTTCTGAGCCTCAAAATTCCAGGGTCTAGACAGGAGACCAAGGTGAGTCCTGGAGACATATGTATCCACAGTACCTATGTCCAATATCTCTAAGATCTTAGTTAAAACTAGTCGATAAAGGTTTAGCTTGCTTTTACTTAATAATAATAATAATAAGTTAAATGACTAGCTTTGTTTACTATAAACAATTTACATATATATATATATATTTGTTAAAAATGAGTAAATTAGGAAAATGTCAATGGTATAAATGTTTATAAGTAAAACTTGCCATAGTTTCAACTCTGGCGTGAGAGATTTCCTAGATATTTGGACAGCAGACGATGAGCCCCTCTCAGTTCAGTAACACAGGGATTGAACGCCGGACCCAGGTGTGATCAGCACCGTGCTCTAACAAACTGAATTAAGTGGCCAGACCTCATTACCTATGGACCTTTAGCTGGGAACATCAAATCTTCGTGGCTTTGTAACATGCTTTTCCTTTATATTAGTAGTCATATAAAAGACAAAAGGAGTGACAACATTCAAATTAAACACTTCAACTCAGTGTGCCCCGAGCCAAAGCCATGTTTTTCCTCATGAGAGTAGAATCTCTACCCTTATTACGTTTTTTTTTTTTAAAAGGTGACCGGTAAGGGGATCTTAACCCTTGACTTGGTGTTGTCAGCACCACACTCACCCAGTGAGCAAACCGGCCATCCCTATGTGGGATCCGAACCCGGGGCCTTG